TTTTTTTTTTTTTTTTTTTTTTTTTAGATTTGTACAGTTTATTCCACTATATGACATAACAAAAACTATATACTAAACAATGAACTTCAAGGGTATTGAAAATAGGATTTAGTGAAAAGAATTCCATTGCTTTAAATATCTTGATTACCGTCTACAATCTTTTTAAAGGTTTAGAAGCTGTAAACAGATTCATTGTAAGATACTGACCCTTTCCATTAATAAGAATAATGCTAGCAGATTTGTTCTAGCATAATATACAAATTTACATATGTAAATAGATCTCATTGTACCACACTGTAAATCATCACATTGTTTCACAGATGCCAAGCGCTTGATTGGTCGGCGATTTGACGACCCTGTGGTGCAGTCAGACATGAAGCACTGGCCTTTTAAGGTGGTGAATGATGGAGGCAAACCCAAAGTGGAGGTGGAATACAAGGGAGAGATGAAGACCTTTTATCCTGAAGAGGTGTCCTCTATGGTCCTCACTAAGATGAAGGAGATTTCCGAGGCTTACTTGGGCAAAGTAAGATGAACCAGAGAAGCCAGCTGTTTTCTTATAATGAATCTAAAGTATTGCATCACAATTATACCACTTACGGCTATGATTTACAAATTAAAACCAAAAATGAAGTAAAACAAACAGCTACCCTTTTGATGCAATGAAAATATAGTAATTAAAAATGCAGTGTAATATACCACAAAATATTACACAGAACAATATGTAGCTCAATTAAAACAAAAGACTTATCAGCACTACATATAACAATAAAACTGCAAGGGGCATTTATGAGAACCACTATACTGAGTCAGGAATCTAAGTGAAGTGAACTTTGTCATGCAGCTGTCGGAATAATGTCCAGAGAACAGTCTCAGCGAACATCAGTCTATCCATGTTCATCAGAAATGTTTATCAGAAATCCATGTTAGATCAAGTATATCTAACTTATTCATTACTCAATTTCTTGCCTCATTAGACTGTGACAAATGCTGTTATCACAGTACCTGCCTACTTCAATGACTCCCAAAGGCAAGCCACAAAAGATGCTGGTACCATTTCTGGCCTGAATGTCCTTCGCATCATCAATGAGCCAACAGCAGCAGCCATTGCATATGGGCTGGACAAAAAGGTATTCTGATATTTTAACCACTGTCCAAGTGAAACAAATGTGAATAATAGCATTATGTTAAAAAAGGAGACCATTTCCACTGCTAAACGTATTATAGAATTGGTGTTAACATCTGTATAATTCAAAATATGTCAAGTCAGTGTGCAATTATTTTGGCTAAATTGATTAGACTGAACATTGACTGCCAGAAGTGCAAAGCTTAAATTCTTGTGCATTGCCTTAGGTTGGTTGTGAACGTAATGTCCTCATTTTTGACCTGGGTGGTGGCACCTTCGATGTGTCCATTCTGACCATTGAGGATGGCATCTTTGAGGTCAAGGCGACAGCTGGTGATACTCATCTTGGAGGTGAAGATTTTGACAACCGTATGGTCAACCACTTCATCGCTGAATTTAAACGTAAATTCAAGAAAGACATCACAGGCAATAAACGTGCAGTGCGTCGTTTGAGGACAGCTTGTGAACGTGCCAAGCGCACACTGTCCTCCAGCACACAGGCCAGCATCGAGATAGACTCACTTTATGAGGGTGCCGACTTCTACACCTCCATTACGAGGGCACGCTTTGAAGAGCTCAATGCTGACCTGTTCCGTGGTACTCTAGAGCCTGTTGAGAAGGCCTTGCGTGATGCCAAGATGGACAAGACCCAGATTCATGACATTGTCCTTGTTGGAGGGTCCACTCGCATTCCCAAGATCCAGAAACTACTGCAAGACTTTTTCAATGGTCGTGATCTCAATAAGAGCATTAACCCTGATGAAGCAGTGGCCTATGGAGCAGGTATGTGAAATCTCATCCTCAAGTAATACTTATTCATTGATAAAGTTCATTGATAAAATAAATTTCAAATTTACTCAGTTTTTCCACATCATACACTGTGACATTTAAACTTTCCCATACAGCTGTCCAGGCAGCAATCTTGTCAGGTGATAAGTCAGAAAACGTCCAAGATCTTCTTCTGCTGGACGTCACTCCTTTGTCTCTGGGGATTGAGACAGCTGGAGGTGTCATGACTGTGCTCATTAAGAGGAATACTACCATCCCTACCAAACAAACCCAGACCTTTACAACCTACTCAGACAACCAGCCTGGTGTGCTGATCCAGGTACCCCTTGTTGACAGCAGATGGTTCCCCAAGTATAAGTCCATCAAAACACCATCACTTGTCTGATTTCTGGCTTTAGCTGGTCACCCCTTACCATTTATTCTGCTATAATAAAGTGTTCTTTGTTTGTCAGGTATATGAAGGAGAACGAGGCATGACGAAGGACAACAACATTCTAGGCAAGTTTGAGTTGACAGGCATTCCACCTGCCCCCCGAGGTGTGCCACAGATCGAAGTGACCTTTGATATTGATGCCAATGGCATTCTCAACGTGTCTGCAGTGGACAAGAGCACTGGCAAGGAGAACAAGATAACTATCACTAATGACAAAGGTATCAGCACAACTGAACCTCAGAAGTGCAGCTAGACTTTGTTTTTCCCTCCCACTTTAATGACTTCTGGCTCTTTCAGGCCGTCTGTCCAAGGAGGACATTGAGCGAATGGTGCAGGAGGCTGAAAGATACCGTGCAGAGGACGATATTCAGAGGGAGAAAGTCACAGCCAAGAACACTCTTGAGTCCCTGGCCTTTAATATGAAGAGCACAGTAGAGGATGAGAAGCTCAAAGACAAGATCAGTGCTGAAGACAAGAAGACAATTGTGGACAAGTGCAATGAGGTTATTGCCTGGCTGGACAGGAACCAGGTAAAGACACTAAACCAAAATCGGTTTTACAGATTTTGAGCTCTTTACTTTCCACCAAGCTCTCCAACCTCTGTGATTAGTAATGAAGCATAAAAGTTTTGTGTTTTGCGAATAACTTTTATGGTTTATAATGTTTTTCCTTTGGAAAACTGTGTTGAGAATATTTGTATAATTGCTTTAAAACCAACCAGAATAGAAATAGTGTTTGTCAGGCCACAGTGCTGAACTGATGGAATCATGACTGTGTATTAAGTTGTGTTTAATCCATCAGAATAATTTTTACCTATTTATACCTATTTATCATTGTTGGAACTAGGGAATTCAGGGTAATCCTTATTTCAGATATGAAAGTTTCATCAGTAGTTCAATAAATGAATGGAATTGACTTATAACAAAATTCAAATATTTCATTTGTCTGCTCTCTTTTTGTCTCTGATGCTGTGCCAAAGACTGCAGAAAAGGATGAGTACGAGCACCAGCAGAAAGAGCTGGAGAAAGTGTGTAATCCCATAATCACCAAGCTTTACCAAGGCACTGGGGGTATGCCGGGTGGAACGCCTGGTGGCTCAGGTGGGTTCCCTGGAGGTGCAGGTGGTAGTGCTTCCTCCGGCCCCACCATTGAGGAGGTTGACTAAACCTAAAAACCACACCAGGGAAGAGAGAGAGAAATCCATGCATCAGCTACACACAACCAGGAGTCCTTCTCTTCAACACATTTCACATTACACTCTCATTAGGACTTGTTAATGGCAGCCACTGCCAACTGAGACCAACATATAGCTTGTGACCAAATCCGATATTTCTCTGACATGAAGCTTTATATGTGTTTTTTTAATCATTAAGCTTCAGTGCATCTTGTATTGATTGGTCACAATGTGTTCTTTAGGTTAGGTTGAGATTATTTGTGCCATTACTTCCACTTTTGTAGCTATACTTCCTTACAGATGTCCTCCCCATTCTCCATAGCTCTGTGGTAGCACTTCAATAAATTATTATGGATTCTCTTCATCTATGTCTGTGTGTTTGTGTGCAATCAAAAGTTTGGTCTTGTTGTAATGCTCTGTGTGCCTAAAAACATAGAACATGAAATAATAAGAATAATAATGTCTTTTTTTCCATTTCTCCAAAATCTCAAAGTGCTTTACTTGCAAAAGACTAAAAGTAAGTAAGCAAGTAAGATTTAAAAGTAAGTAAGGCAAGGAAAGCACATTCAAAACAAACCTCACTGACCAAAGTGCTGTACGTTGAATAAAAGTATAAGACATGAAATAGCAAAAGAAACGAAATAAAGTAATAAAAATAAAACAATATAATAAAAACCCCATTAAAACAGACAGACAAACAAATACCAGCACAAAGTAAATAAATTATGGATTACAACAAATGTGTCAGACTAACACCTATCAATCCTGATGGGATTTAAGGTGGGATTTGAATACTGAAATGGAGGGGGCATGTCTAATAGCTATCAGTTAGCTGTTCCACAGTCTGGGGCGGTAGATGGCAAAAGCCTGGTCACCCTTGATTTTTAATCATTACCTTGGAACAGCCAACAGGTTTTGTGAGGAAGGCCTTAAGGATCTTTGCGCAGTCTAAGGTGTTAGCAACTCCAATTTAAAGAGGTGCTAGACCATCAAGAGTTTTAAAAACAAAAGAACTCTAAAATGAACTAGGAGCCAGTGTGGTGAAGCTAGAACTGGTGAGATATGCTCTCTCTTCTTTGACTACAATACATTAGCTAGAAAAGGAACACACACCTTTCAAAAAACTAGCCTTTTTCCTTTCAAAGGTAGCTTTTTTATGAATTTCTGAACCCATTTTCAGGCATTTTGCAGATTTCATCATGTTCTTTCCCAGACTCTCCCTGTACTTATCTCCATCCCTCCTCCTCTCAATCTTGACAAGTTCCCCAGTCCCTGCAGAGGAGAAACATCTGTTGTGTTCTTTCCCCAGTCATCTCATTTTGAAGGATGTCCAGATTTTGGCAGACATTTATGGCATTTGGCAGTAGCCAGAGAGACTTACATTTATCTCATTTATACAACTGAGGGTTAAGGGCCTCACTCAAGGGTCCAGCAGTGGCAGCATGGTAGTGCTGGGGTTTGAACTAATGACCTTCCAATCAGTAGTCTAACATCTTAACCACTGAGCTACCACTACCCTTTACCATGCTCCAGGGTATCCTCAGAATCTTTGTATATCCCTTACCTGATGTGTACCTTTAGACAACCTTGTCACAGAGTTGTTTTTGGAGGTCTTTAGAGCCAATGCTGCTGCCTTTGTGTGAATCTACACTTGAAAACTGAAGGGCCATAGAAAACAGCTGTTTTTATCCAAGCTATCAAGTCAATTGTGATTCCACAAAGGTGTTGAAAAAATGTGACAGTGTGAGCTTGAAGGCAGTTGGTTATCCCTGATATTTTAGGGATGTTTTAGTAAAGGGGGTGTTTACGTCAAACCATCAAACCAAGATATTGTAGTTATTTATTTTTAAATAATCTTAGAAATGTTTTATTGTTTGCTTTTCACTTTCACATTGTTAAGTGTTCTGAGTAGATTAGCTAGAAAAAACATTTAGATTCATTCTATTTTAATTCCAGCTTATAGCCCAACTAAATCTAAAATTAGTTAAAGGCTTGTAAAGTCCTGCCTCCTTTGTCCTCATTCTCCTCACTCCAGCCATAGTGTCACAGTTGTGCCTAAACCTGGGACAATTTGAGATGCCGTTATGGAGTTCTCACCCCTAGCTGAGATTATAAAATCCCTTGGCAACCTGCACCAGAATGGGAGTCGACCAGGGGACAGTGGGGCTTTTGACTGCTACCCCTGAAATTGAAAAAGCCCAGCTGGCTATGCAGCAGCTTCCTGTGGTAATTCAACACAAGGAATCATCTCATAGTTCATGAGATATGGTATAAAAAATTTAAAAAAAAAAGAAGTAAACCGCTATTCTATAGCGCCATCATTAGGCCTATTGGGCCCACCTCACTTGCCTGTGTAGGGGCCTGTATTATTATCTATTGACCAAGTTTCACATCCTTATGCCTTATAGTTTGATCTGAATGATTCATTTTGGTGCTTCTGTGCTTGGACCACTAATAATAATAATAATAATAATAATAATAATAATAATAATAATAGCAGTGACAAGAAAAAAAATTATTGAGTGAAATATTTTGGTTTACAGTTATTTATTTGTTTGTTTGTATTTATCTTTGCTTTACATGCACCCTTTTTCACCTCAAGGAAACCAGAGTACTCCTTCTGATTGACTTGCATCCTTGACACATCTTTAGCCCGATTTTGAAGAAACCAGCCACACTGATACTGTGACCATCACACAACTACTCGGTGATTGCTGAAAAAGAAATATTAAAAATGCTGTGTTTCCTGCAACTAACACGGCCTACATCAGCTAATGTCACTGTGATCAGTTAAGGTACTGTATCCAGCCAGTTACCTTGGCCAGCAGCATTATGAGTAGTTTGCCTTTTATAAACCCCCAACTGCCCTCATAAACACTCATTTATACAGTATACCATAGCTATGTCAGCGCATCACATATCTCTCAACAAGAAGTCTTGAAGTGTAGCATCTTCTGAGCACTAAAACACATTTTCTTTTACATTATTTGAATGGCCGGGTGCATGTGCGTCTCTCACCTGGGGAAGAGATGGCACCAGGATGCACTATGGGAAGAAGGCAAGCCGGCGGAGGCAGTGTAATGCTCTGGGCAATGTTCTGCTGGGAAACCTTGGGTCCTGGCATTCATGGGGATGTTACTTTGAGACGTACCACCTACCCAAATAATGTAGCAGGGTCAAAATATCATACACATGATGGCTATCCAAATGAACATGGCTCAGAACTTACACAAATGCATTCAGATGATAAGGCTTCACAATGTGGCTAGGGTCCAGGTGTCTTTTATGTTGGTTACCCACGAAATGAGCTGAGTAACCAAAGAAGTCCTTTCAAATTCAGGGGTGGGTGCCCTCTGGTGTCCTGGTGGTGAAATGTAAGAGCATGGTGGCATGCAGAATAAATAAATAAATAAATCTGAAGTAATTCTATTTCATCAAAATATAATGGTCAAAAATGTAGGCCTATGTGCTGTTGGTCTATGTGCGAAATTGCATGATGTGGCATGTTTCTGCAGTAAGATCTTCCATGTCCACCAAAAGCTTTACAGCCATTTTTTCATATATAGAGGGTGTCTAGTTACTTTCATTCATTAAAGTTGTTTTCTTAGACGTTGCATAAATCAGGCATACGAAAAAGAAAAAAGGAGAAGAAGGACTGGTTAACTCAAGTGTATGGCAAAGTTCTTAAAGAAATATTGAAAATTGACATTAGAATGTTTTATTGGATTATCTGCTATTTCATTTATATTTCATGGGTTGTGTATGTGTGTGTGTGTGTGTGTGTGTGTTTCCTTGGGGTCAGTGGACAATATGCACAGCAGGCCTGCTTGTATTACAACCCCTTCCTATTTAAGCAAGCAAGTTTGTTACTAAGACTCGGACTATGGTATTCTACTTTTAATTACTTTTAATTGTTTTCTTGCCAGTGTTGACCTGCTCATATAGTAGGTTGATAAATATAGTACAAATGGATTCCTTGGGTCTGAATTAAAATATTACACCACTCATCCATTCATGTTCTGATGATTTCTTCCTCTCGCCATGTCTGTCATACTCCCCAGTATTTTGCAGCAGACTTGGGGCTGTTTTTCAGCATTTGGGCCCCTTAGTTCTAGTGAAGGGTAATGCTAATACTACAGCATACAAAGACATTTTAGACAACTGTATGCTTCCAACTTTGTGGTAACCATTTGAGTTAGACCCTTTCCTGTTCCAGCATGAATGTGCTCCTGTGGACCATAAAAACAAGGTCCATAAAAACATGGTTTGATGAGTCTGGTGTGGAGGAAATCCAGTGGCCTGCACAGAGCTC